GAAAGCAGCCTGGCCTGTCAGTACTGTGAGTTGCCTCCCCACCGGATTAATAAAGTATTTTGAATGGAATTGAATGGGCAGTGTGAGCTCTCCAGCGCCCCCGGCTGGCCACAGTCTCTGGACTTTGGGCACATGCTGTGCCAGGGCTGTGCTATGGGCAAACTACAGTATTTTCATTCAGCAGACTGCCCGCCCTGCATGCCCTGTTCATGCCCAGCTCCCACCTGCTGTGTGCCATACCCAATGCCCAGCTCAGTGGGCATGGGTACAGAGCAGGACTGGCAGAGAGGGTGCCCAGGAACTGCCTGTACTGTGATACCGAATCTCTGTATCTGCTGCTGTAGATGGGGGCTTAAGGCTTATTCATCCTTTAAAACACTTGGAAAAACAAGCTACTCATTTTGTTTTACATTTTGTTTATTAGTATTAGTATTGGTATTGTGTTTTTTTTTTCAGTACAAGTTAGTATGGTTAATATGGCTTTTACTGTACAGTTCAGGGTTACATTAGGTAAAATCATGACACAGATAAAGTTCAGTTTGATCTGCTTGCTAATAAATTACCTTTTGGACTCTTGGAACACAATCAACTGTATTTTTAAAAAGAGGGTTAGTGGTTTATCCACTTAGGAAGGGACAGTATATTATTATGTGGAGAATACAAACTACAATTTCAAAACTGCAGCTTCAGTACTGCAACCTTCATATATACTGTACAACTGCAAGATGTGATATCAGAGGAAAGGGTTTATTGTCTGTAGACACACACTCCCCCTGGAACCACAAAACACAGCAGGAAGTGTACTTGAGCCATTAAAGTGTTTTAACACAACCTATACTGGTTATTAGTAAGAAGACTGTAAACACTGCTCTACCAGAGACACGTCTAGTTCTGGTTTTAAAAACTTTGGCTTAAATAGTTGAATATCTCACAGCCTTAACACATTACATGATTTACTGCAAATTGGATTAGTTTTCACTTGCTGTTTTTATTGCATTTGCTCTAATAAAAACTGCAGACAGAAATACATAATTTACTGAATGCACCATGTTTTTCCAATACTTATAGGTTATAGCCATACATTTTACACATAATATAGGACCAAATGTCTAGTTTTTGTGCTAAAGTACATAATTTGTTCTTTTTAGGGAATGCCATTGTTTTAACATGGCATTGTGTTGCAGGAATTGAGTGCCACAAACACCACGGGGGTATTTTGCTCTGCATTTCTCTGGGAAACCCCGACTTCCAGAGGCTGAAGCAGCTCGCGGCGGCCCAGCCTGCTGGCCAGAGCTGGGGGTGGGATTTTTTCAGCTACTCTGCCTGCCAGCCAATGGCACAGTGGCGACAGTGACCTCCACATGACCCCTCCAGTCCCCAGTCTCTGAATCCAATGGGACAAGACACTCAGCCCTTGGACTGGGGTACTGGGGCTACCAGAGCAACACGCTCCCCCACCACACCTCACAAAAGATGACTGCAGCATGCCTGGCTCCAGCAGAGCACAGCAAAGCCCCCTGCAAAAGTGATATTATAATAATATAGTAACAGAGCACAGGCAAGAGATACAAGGAAACACCGTTTCAAATGACTGTTCAGGTCCTGACTATCGATAAAAGAAGGCCCCCATCAACCCTCAGCCAAGCTTCTCCCCCTCAGCTCTGACTGCCCAGGTGAGGCCACAGGGGGGGAGGGACATGGTTCAGGGGAGGGGAACAGGAGATGTGATACCTGTCCAGGGGGCTACGACTGCCGTCCTCCTCGACACCACAGCGTGCTCTTCGCGTCAGGAGTCCCGTCTGTCTGCTCTCATGCTAGCGAGTCTGATTGGAGGGCGATTTATTTTTATTCCTCTTCGTTTTCTGTGCTCCTCTGAAACCCGCTGCCCTCCCCAGGCAGTGATGAATAAGCCCAACTGCTGCCCCGGGCTCTGGGGCTGGTGTTATGTGAGCACATTAACAACAAGGAGCTGCACAACACAGCCTCAACACTGAAGCTCCCAGACTGCGGAATGAGGAGATCTGGGCAGAACTTTTGCTTTTCTTCTATTTTTAAAACATTACAATTCAAACTATTTGCCAGTCTTAAAGTGACAGCTGTAACATTGCAAACAGATTCTATCAAGCTGACAGACCTCAGGTATTGATAAACATGAGTTATATCATCATCTTCAGCCTTTATCGATCCAGGACTGGAGGAAGGCCTCCCCAAAGATTCTTCTGCCATAACCATCCGTCTTACCAGAGGTAATTTCTTCTGTCCTGGGATCCAGTCCAGTCTGCTGATGACCTGTTCATCTTTCTGTGTGTCTGGCCCATTGCCATTTCACTCTTCCACTGATGACAAGTTTTATTCAGTTTGCCCTCTAAATTTCACTGTTAGCTCCTTTTCCAGCTTTTTTGTGTTATTTCGGGCATGTGCCCTCCCAAAGTTCCTTAGGTCTTCTGTACCTTCTGCACCCTCATGCTCAGGTGCAAGGCATGAAAGCCCATGGGTTAAGACCTCCCTTCTGTAGTGCAGAGATGGGTTCCCCTCTACAATCAAAACCGATCTTCCAGTTCACTCCGGATGCTTTCCATTTCATTACACACGTCTAGTTTTCAGACAGTGGAATTACTTGACCCAAACGCACATAAGTTCTTGTACTAGTTCATGTAGGTAGCTGCGTCAGCATGCGTAGGCTGCAAAGGGTTTTTTTCAGGCTGAAAAGAGAAGAAAACAAACACAATATTTCGGCTGTGGAGCCTTCATTGGGTATGCCTTCTATGACATCCAAAGAAGGCTCCACAGCCGAAATGTTGTGTTTCTTTTCTTCTCTTTTCAGCCTGGAATAAACCTTTACTTGTTCTTAAACTGTTGTACTGTAAGTGTTTCTGTTTCTTAAGCATGCCTTGGGGACACAATGTTTGTTAACATTGCGCAAACCTTACCTTTCTGTGTTGAGTTTTCCCACCTGGGACAGTGTTGACTTCATCTATTTGATCTTCCTGCTTGTTATCCTCCTGGGTTTGGAGCACACGGAATCGCCTTCAGCGAACGGTGGGTGATTCTAGTGAGGCAGATTCACTCTTGGGAACCTGCGCAGTCGAGTGTCTTGAAAATGTCGTCCTGTGCAAGAGGTTTGGACATATTTGCAACTTTCCATTCTCTCATTGTCCTTGTGTAGCGTATTGGTGAGGTCATCCTCCTGAAGCTTTTGGCTCTTTAAGGTACCTGGAACAGTACTGGTATTTGTAGAGCCTAATGCTTTCTAGTCTTGCGTCTGACAATGGCATGTTGTCTTCATTGAGAATTCATTGTTTGCCCTACGCAGGTGGGCCATGGTAATGAATCAATTTGCGTCAGTTATCAAAAGTCAATTTCACTCTACAAATGAGCAGAGGATGGTACATTTGGGAACTTAATTTAGTTAAGTCTCCTGAGAAGATCTAAGGCTTCAATCCCTTACTGGTTCACCGTTACAGTTAGAAGCATATGTATACACTGATGTGAGTGTGATTTGCATTTATGAAATGAGGGGTGCTCATGGACATCATGAAAATATAGGCCTGACAAAAGAAATAAAGTGCAAGAAAGTGTCTGTTTACTTTGCACTCTTATGCAAGGAAAGAAAAATATTTAAGAAAGAGGAAAGATAAAACAGCCAATCAGGACAATAAACTGCTGTTTCTCCGGGGAAAGGTCCTGGTCTACTATATAATGAGCTATGTAACAACACTCACCACATAGACTAGACTAGACACCCCTTTGTCACAGTGGGTATATACAGTAGATATGCCATAAACATGTATGCATAATCCACGCTGTACTGTATAAATACACTGAGGTGAATAAGGAGATCCTGACTTGTACCTGGAGTGCAGTCGGAGCCTGCACACCAAGCCTGACAGACGATACTGCCATTAAATAGTAAAGCGAGCCTTGAGCCACACACCAGCTCTGCCACTCGGCCAGGCGCTGCAAGGAGAGAACTTGGGGTGATTCCAGAAAGGAAAGTTACACTAATGAGTCCAATCTACACAATTTATTTTTCCTTTGTTATGCGTCCCTCTCACGCGGAGAGCCGCCGGAGACGGTAATAACCCTGCCGCTTCTTCTGCCTGCGACACGATCCGCCCCCAGCGAAGGCCCCGCTTGCCGTTCACGGGCTGTCGGGGTCACCTGCAGTCCGGCTCTGCCCCCCACACCCAGCCCCGGCCTCTCTGCCAGACTACTGACACAGCCGACCAGCCACATTCAGCAGAATGAAGAAACGGAGCGTCCTCAACGGGCTCCTCGTTTTCTCATTTCAAAGCCCATGCTTCCTGCTTTTAAAGCTGCCTGTGCGCACAGCCCTGCAGTGGTTGAGTGGTCCACTCTTGCTGGGATCCCACCCAAATTCACTGTACAGGGCAAGTACAGCAAGCGCCGGAGACTACAGGAGTGAAATAGTAGCAAGTGTAATTCGTGGGTGGATTGCTGGGGGAATGGAGGCAAAGTATTACTGTGCTGTATCATTAACAGTGTTACACAATCCTGTGATTCACGCTGCACCTCTGTGTAGGGCAACTTTTGTCGGTAGTACTCAAATCAAAGGCACTTTGCTTTCTGTCTTCAGAGCTCTGGCGGCACTTAAAGACAACATTTAAATATCATAATCCACCTACTTTTGGTGTCAGCAAACACTGTACACGTTAACTGCACTGAAGAGCGATTACTGACTGATATTTATTTATCAACGTATTTGCCTACACGCTGCTGCAGAAATAAGACAGACGACTGATGGTCCCTGTACTGACCACTCATGCACCCTTCTAAAGAATTAACCGAATTCAGGACCTGGTACTTTCATCTGCCGTGTTTCAGATACGTGGTGGTAATACTTTTGCACCTGCATTTCTACGGGATGCTGAGTTTTCAAAGCACATCCACGATGATATATATAATGTATAAGGCAGCACGGAAAGAGACGCTGCTATATAAGCTGCTGTAAATCCGCAGCCAGGAGCCCGGCACAGAGACGGCAGGATTAGTATTCCTCGTTATGAGCGACAGACGGTCGACAGTGCAGCACACAACCGTCGGAGAAAAGACCGGAGAGCATCCCTGAACCGTTAAGGGCGAACGCAGGGGGACTGGCCACCGCTGTTTGGTGGGTTTTCAGATCTGCTCCTTCTGTTACCCTTTGCGTCTCGAGTTTGTTTGTCGCTGCTAATTTTTTTTAAGCGGTTCATTTTCTTTAAAGGTGTCATAAATACACCTGGTTACGTCATTATAGCACGTTGACAGTCAACTTGTGTGACAGCAGGTCACACGGCCTCTCAGGATCTCTGAGATCACAGAGCTCCCGGTCTCTACCGGCAGGTACCGCGCACCCACAAACACGCACAGGACAGCACACGCACTCTCATTCCGTCTCCTTCTCTCGCACTCAGCCCCTGTAGATGGGATCACACGCACATACAGTGCGCACACAGACCGACTCCTATCATAAACAAGGACACGAGCACTAACACGCTCTCGCTCTCAGGAAAAAAACCACACACACACAAAAAGGATTATACTGTAGCTCACTGCGGACGAGCAGTTACTGTACACTGACGCTGCAGAAATTGAGGGGCTGCAAGGAGTTTCGAAAGTATAACACGGGGAAAGAACCAAACAAAAGAAGACAGAAGGCAGAAAAGGCACGGAGATCATTACGGGCACAGAGGAATCAACGCGCATACCGCCGCTGAAACCCGGAGTCAGCTGTCAAGTGGTACAGTAGAGTATTGTGCGGACTAGAAACTCTTGCATTTATCTTTTGTATTAATTGACCGAGGTGTGAGCGCGTAACAGTAGTCTTACTATTATTAAAAACTATTTTAAAAAAAAAGCCCCACGGAATACTAATCCTAGACTAACTCACTAGCAATAAAGATCAATGAAGAATGCGGGAGTGTGCTCGGGCACCGTCCAGACAGAGTTAATGAAGCCCTTGGCTGTATCATGCGCCTTCTTCCTGAGCCCAGCGCGCAGTCTTTGCGGCTGATCTGCCTTTTAATTTTTGTAATGGGGGTAGCCCCATCCCCGGTGATGACGGCTGGGTGTCCCGACCGCTGCGTGTGTGATGACCAGTTGGTGGTCCAGTGCTCCGGCCAACAGCTCATCGATCTTCCCCGAGAGCTGCCCTTGGCCACCCGACAGCTCATCATCTCCAACAATCGCATCAAGGAGCTCCCGGCTCTGCAGCTCAACTACCTGTCTGACTTAGTCTACCTAGACTGCAGCAACAACTCCCTCACGGAGATCTCCGAGTCCACCTTCGGTAACCTCCGGAAGCTCGCTTACCTGGACCTCTCTTTCAACAACCTGGCCCAAATCGACGACAGGACGTTCGGCCCGCTGGGCAGCCTGGTGATGCTGCGGATGACGGACAACCCGGGCCTCTCCGAGATCCACCCCGACGCCTTCGCCGAAAACGCGGCTCTGCAGGTGCTCGACATCAGCAGGAACAACCTGACCTCCCTGAACATCAGCACGCTGATCGCCCTGCCCGCCCTGCGCTCCCTCGGCCTCAGCGGGAACCCCTGGCGCTGCGACTGCGACACGGAAGACCTCTGCCTCTGGGTGCAGGTGGAGGGATTCAAGTTTCAGGGTGAGTTGCTCTTCTTCCTCCTTTCCGTCCTCCCCCTCTCCCTGTTCCTCCTTCCCCCGACGAGCTCGCCTGTCGGTAACCTCGGCCTTGTGTCTGGGGGTTCATCGTGTGGTTCAGATGTTTGTTCCGTGAGACACACGGCACAATTCGACGTGATGTTGTTCTGTCTGACGGCTGTGTAAGCAGAAAACCTTGGAATTGTTTTCTACTTTTCTACGGCTAAGTAGCTCCTGGAAGGAACAGCAGTCAGATTTGCACTTGCAGGCGGTGTACAGGAAAGTTCAAAGGCAAGAGAAAAAGCAAGATTTACAGATTTCTGTCCGTAGCTGCGTGTAACACTTTGTATACCGTGTGGACGAGTATTAATTCCACTAAAATCACCGACAGCCACCGACATTTCGACCTTGCGTGTGAGTATGGTTTAGTAAACACGTTTGGAGGGGGGCAATTGCTCTGTTCCTGAGGTGCCCTTGAAAAAGGCTGTAAACTGCAGCGACCCCGTCCTGCGTCATTTCGTTTCTGTCCCGGCTAAACTCCGAGCAGGAGAGTTTACGATCGTGCTTGGAACCCTTCATCAAAATATCAATTTCCTTACTTGGATCGCACAAACGATTTTTAGCCTAGAATTTGCATTGCTGGCTTTGGCTCCAGAATAATCACCAGAAAGAAAGCCCAAAATATGAACAAAAGCGCGCAAAATAAACAAAACATTAGATCATATTTCTGGCATGACACGGTCAGCTGTCGTTTTCAGAACCTTCGTCTTCCTCGTGTGAACACTTTTACTGCGGTATACCACGGTTAATGCAGTTCAAAGTGTAGTAAAGCACAGTGAAATTATAAAGCATTAAAAAAGCTGAATCAAGTATTGTAGAGCATGACGGAAAAGCTTGTGTGACCACGGAGAAGCAAATCAAATGCAGGTCAAAACCTGTGCACAGGGTGGGAGATTACAACAGTAACCTTTTATGACAGGCCCTGATGATAATGGGGCCAGCAGGCAGCTTGGGGAATCTGCAGGTGAGCAAGCCAGAAGAAAGCCTGAATATTACAATGCAGCTTTGCCAGTCAGTGCCCAGTGTGTCAATATCAAAGCTGTTAATTCTCAAGCTGACAGGCAGTCACTGTAGTGGGCAAAAGAGAGTCACACTACCAGCTAGCCTTTGGGTGGCTGTGCATTTGGCAGCTATTGCTAGCAATTTTTCTAATGCACTCTCCTGATTTATTGCTGTCGTTGTGACTCGACCATTGAGAAACTTTGCTTTTTGTTTGACCTTGAATTTTCAGCTGTAAACACAGATGTTGACTAAAACCAGTGGTTTCAGAGAGTGCCTTACATATAACCAGAGACTCTGGAAAAATACAGCCAAGTTTTTCTCTTCTTGTGCTCCACTAACGAGTAGTCTTGCTGATTGGCAGTGGTCCTAGACTTGCTTAAGTTAAGGCCATCTGCGATCGGTGATCCTTAAGGTCGGGTCACTGTATAGAGTTCAGAATTAACCTGCTTGCAAGGAGGTTAAACATAGATGTCGGTTCGTATTCAAAACTGTGCAATTTGAAGTGTAAAGTATGATGTCGGAACCTTGGCACATCTGCCACTTGCAAATTACAAACCCAGCCAGTAATGAAAGTTTTCCAGATGGCAGAAGGAAAAGGCTTCCGGCAGACACAATGCGGCCATCAAGGAGCGGGATTGTAATTTTCAGATGGCGTCTGGTTTGAAGCTGATTTCGCCCTCGGCCCTCAAATTACTCATGAATTTTTAGAGGGATCGTGAGACCTCCAGCAGTTTCATTGCTGGCCATAATTATAACAGGGCCTTATTAGCGGATCATTTGTTCGTGTGAGGTTCACTTGAGAGCTGAGAGCTCTGCTGGGATGAAGAGCCGGAGAACTGCTGCAGACCTCTGGCCCCCGGCTCCCTGCCTCGGCAGACAGGTTCCTGAAGGCCATGGGTGTGACCGCAAAGACAGTCCTTGGCTCCGACCCCACCCTGAAGAATAAGCCGAGCCCTAGGCAATTCTAGTGCAGCATCGTTAAACCAGGGAGGAGTGGCCTAGGCTAAACCTTGTGTTTTTTTTAAACTAACTTCCATTTTAAAGAGTTTAGAAATCTCCCCGAGACGTAGCCAAGACAGACTTGGCCGGGACAGGATACACGCATCTGAGTTGTTCTCTCACATTGCAGACCAGGGGCATTTGTTTCCAGTTTGAAAGGATCCTAAAAAGAGCTTAAAATCTTAAAGGACAACTGATCGCAAATACTCAGACGGTTGACTTTGTCCTAGGAGATACAGTACAGTTATAAAGCTGTACACATCAGAGCTCGCCTGGAGGGGCGAGTGAATTAATTCATCAATAAACTGCTGGCTGTTGATTAAGCATTCTACATTGACGGTATGGCGAAGAAGAACGACGATGATATTATTGCTTCAGGTGCCAATAATATGTATCACACATTCGTTCACGTATCCGGCGTGTCGCCTTTCAGGCAGGTCAAGGTGCTCTCTGCTGAGGAAGAGCTCTTGTGCGGCGCTGCAGACAGTCAGTGAGTCATCCCGATCTGACAGCTGAGTCAGGGTGCTGTGCCGTGTTCGTCCTGCGTGCTCGGTGCGCTGGGGGGGGGCGGCACCCTTGGCACTTGGGATTTTTTGGGTTTCCCTTGGGGGGTTGTTGTTCGGATTGGCTTCGGCCGGGAACTTTGGGGATCCTTACACTGCTGTCAGTCATGAACAGGGCTGTCAGACCTCATTCCTGCAGGCTCTTTGGCTTAGTTCTGCTTCAGCCCAGAACACTGAAGTCTGCTTGACCTCAGCCTTTGGACATCCTGTGCACTGCAGGTGTGTCCTCGGACCATGAGCCTCAAAAGGCCTTGAAGTAAATATTAAACGCTTCCACCTGAGCCAATAAGACGATGGGTTAGGAGGAAAGAGAACCAGAAGCCCGCAGCCCTCGCTGGGATGCCCCGCCGTCTCCTCGGGCTAATGTGTCGAGCTGTCCAGCTGTGCCACAACGTGGGGCTGCTAACTGCTAATGACTGTTGTTCTACCTGAACAGCGGAGAGCATGCCAGCGGAGCTCTGATCAATTACATCTGCAGACTGCTGAAAGTCTGGAAAAAAAACCGTTCGAAAGAAGCTGACACGAGTCTTTTGAGCGGTGTCTGCGGTGTGAAAGTTCGTTCTGCTGGCTCATAGCTCCTGCACCCGTGGGCTTGATTCCAGCCTGAGGCTGCTGTCTGTTTGGAGTTTGTCTGTTCTCCCTGGGCTTTTTCTTCCCAGTTCCCTTTCATCGTCCGAAAAGACAAGAAGGACAGGCTTCCGGGAGTCCAGTGGGATAGGGAGACCAACCCACCTCAGTGCTCTGCCCTATCAGTAGTGACTGGTGCTTCTTTGCCTGGAACGGTGTCCAGGATAGATATTGTCCAGAGCAAACTAACAAGCTACGGCACTGTCTTGGAACAGACTCGTTGGCGTCTTTCAGGAAATTGTTGGATGAAATTCAGGGAATGATAAGCGACCAATAGCCAAATGAACAACAGTGTTCTCTTCCCGTTCTGTCCTTCTTTATGTTCTGATGTTTTTATGTTTTTACACAAGAGGTTTATTCAACCATTAACTCCCCCCAGAAAAACCACCAATACGACTTTTATTCAGAATTACTAGACATTTTGTGAGACCCAGGACACTGTAAAGGCTGTGAAGACAAGTCACAACACATCACGATTACAATGAAGGTTTATCTTTGAGTCTTTTGGGGTTAACTAATAAGATGAACACCCACCAGGTAGAGGTTTTCTTCAAGCTGGGGCAGGAAACTTCAGACGTTGAGCTAGAAGGAACTCCATCCCCTCCAATGTCAGGGACGCTGAAACATTAGATTCCTTCAAGTCCGGCCTGGGTGCTCATCTTTCTCCACGGACTCTCGTGTACCTGGTGTCCCATGTGTCTGAGAAGTACCTTCTTACTGTTGGCTTAGTTCTGCCTGGTGCTCTGGGGTATTGGGCAGAGAGCACATGGTATGAAGGTCAATCAGTACTGTCCCACTCCCTGAAAAGACTGACAAACCGGCCCAGGGGTAGCAGTGCATCACTGTGGCTGCCGGGTTCGCTGTGAAGATCCCGAGTTTAAGGGGAAAGGGGCTACAGAAACACCTTATTCATTTGGCTGAGATTTTTTTCTAAGGTTTACTGAAGTTTATAATACAATTGCTTTACGTATAATGGAACATTCACCAATAGGTATAGGAATTCTCCAACCAGTTCAAAAGAAGTATAGAAATGTAGCACAGTCTGATATGAGGAAGAGGGGTTTCAAAACCAGCACGATAGAATAAAGAACTAAACTAGGGTAAAGGTAATTTCTCAGCACAATGATTCTTTACCTTGATATTCCTGATCTTCCTTTCTCGCATGTATCCTGTATCATTGTGTATCATATATATGTGTAATACACATCCACACGCTTTAGATATAAGGAATTAAACACTCCAGTCAACAAAGACCCACATATTTATATTAATATTTTACCTCATATTTGACTGGTAACAGCTGTGCTGTTGGTGCTGCAGATGTACACAGCTAAGACAGTTGCAGTAGTTTGTGAATCTCTAGTTCTCCTTTGACATTTTACCACAGTGCATTTTGAACATTTTTACAGTGGTTTTCTTGTGCCTCTACTGCATCATTATCTTTCCCATTGCCGTAGGACAGCAGGTTTTAACCTAGACTGAATGAGCCATTTTGTGCTTTCATTGTGCCTTGCTACACCACAGTGCAACAACACCATGATTTACCTTGGGCAGCAGGTGGGCTCAGTGGGGCATGGCCGTTCCCCGGGCGGCAGGGCACTGTGCCAGGGCGGCGTTCAGGGCGCGAGGCGTGGGGAACATGTGAGAAGGCGGGGAGTTAAAAATTCATAGAGCTGGAAACTGCGAGAGCGGGGAGCAGCCACAACAGGGAGCGAGTCTGAGGGACAGGGGGGAGGGGAGTCGGAGAGAGACG